CTGAACCTACCAAGTCTGGATTTTTATCTATTGTTAACATGAAACATTCCCACAACTCTGATGACATCAGTGACAAGGGCATAACTACATCAGTAAACATTTCGTAATTGCTGCAGTTGCTTTTTCTTTTAACTTCCCTAAACACTCCTGCCATGCACTCACAAGCTGGCAAAGATCAGCAGCCTCTCCCCAAGTCTAGGGAACTGAGAAAACACTTACTTCTTGCTTCGTTCTTCGTGGCCGTTGGCACTGCTCAATTTGTTCTCATCCTAAGCAGGGTTGATAGAAGAACATCATGAGGACGAAGCGGAAACATTTCAAGTGGTCAAAGGGTAATGGGAATGGGAATAAGAAAATACAAAACAAAAATTTTAATACTAAATTACTTGTTTACAGTTTTATGTGGAAAGCTTTAAAAAATTTAGGTAGGCATGTTTAACCACTTTGCTGCTTAAATTTAAGTCATACAATTACAAAATACAAGACTTACATCATTTAAAAGTGTGTATTAAATTGTAGATACTTCCTTACATGGTTTAGAGAGCAAGTTATCCTGTAGAATTCAGCACTCAAGTGGTTAAATGTTATTTCTATAAAATGTAAGAGGAAGTTTCAGGTTTGTGTCTGTGTGCCCCTCTGACCAGCACCAAGGCTACACCTCTGCCTAAGCCCCAGTGGCTACGCTAGCAGCCAGCACTATGGATTTCCTGTGACCGATGCCATTCCCGAGATCTTCGCTCATTTTCGTTGCAGGGTTGTAAGAGCTTGATGTCACCTCTGTCACACATCTCGCCCTGAAGCAAACAGGGATTCACACTGCTTTAGTAACGTCGGCTCCCAAGAAAGTCATCAATAATCCACCAGTCCAGCCTAAACATTCCCTATTTCCATACCTGTTTACATGGAAAATATCCATGTTAAACCAGGACACAAGAATTTTAACATAACAATTTACAAATTTCTCTTCAAGATTTTAAGGTAATTGCTAAATATTACATAAACTAAATATACAACTTAAAACTTACAAATGCTCATCCAAAATTCATGACATGGTTGTAATAAACACTGCAGAATAGACTAACAATAGCTGCTATATAATTTATATCCTTTCTTTACAGTTTAATCACATTGGTTACATCAAAAGTACAATTCCTAATCAACTTAAACTTATGGTACATTTCTTGTGAAACCAGTGCTAGAGCATGCATCATGTTAACACTTCACCTTTTGGTGAAAACCAAAAAAGACAGTATTCATTTGCTGCTGGTTTAGGTAAAAGACAACACTAGGCTTATTGATAAAAATTTTGCATAAAATCGACATTTCCTAATTAAACAACTAGAACAGAAGAACACAAGAGCTTCTTTTAGAATGACACCGCAGACTGTGATACTGTCTTTTACTTGCTAAGAACATTCTATTCAGGGATCCAAGAATTTCTGTCAATTCGTTCACTCAGCAATTGATTTCCATCTGCCCTGGTAGAAGATTAACTGCCACCAGCCTCCTGTATTAAGAGCCAGTCTCACTCTTCTTGCACCGAGCAGACTGTTCAAATATTTACTTGCCATGGGACTGGTGAAAAGGTTATTCTTGGAACCCTGCTGTTTTCCCAAACCACTGCATTCACCTTGTTGCTATACCAAACTGGACCTGACAATTTTAGGAGAGGTTTTTGGTTTATTGGTTTTGGGGTGGGGTTTTTTTTGTTGTTGTTTTGATTTTGGTTTTGGGTGGTGTTTTGTTTTGTTTTTTTTAAACCTAGGGGACCACGGTACAGCGATACGTCACTCAATTACTACCTTATGATTGACAGTTCACACTGGAATCAAAGGTGAATTCATGGGAGTAGAGGTGAGATATCGTTAGGCAAGTCTACAAAGAGAGATAGATGGGCATTTATTCATCACGCTGAAGTGAAACTACTGCACAATATAATTACATTAACAGTATATATTTACTTGTAAGTTACATGTAATGCATCTCCAATAAGATAAATCATGAGGGCTCCAGGGATGTTAGTTTACAGTTCAGCAGTAGTTTCATGAATAATGCTAAATTAAAGAGGACCTCACTGGCACATTTTTCTCACCTTCTTGTAAGGAGCTTCAAGCATTGCTTCAATATCAATATCATCAGCCATTTTTCAAGACACCTGAAAGAAGAAATGAAATCCAGCTGAGACAGAAAACACCCCTGCGCTTTACATCCCAAAGGCTTCTCCTCAAGAAGCCATCGCTGCACTGGCTCCAATTCAGTCTCAGAAGACATTTGCAACAGGAAGTGGAATGAAGCCGTGCCCAAGGAGATGATAAAGAACATGACACGAAGCAATTACAGCTGGGAACAACAAGATGCTATCCAACACCATCAGCCAGCGGAAACCCCAGAGGGATTCCACCACTTTCAAAACAAAGAGCACAAATCACTGATGACCCAGAAACACGGGCTCGTGGCCATCCTGAAAAGGACTAGAGCCTTATCATCGAAGAGCCCAGGAGGAGCACAAATCACTGATGACCCAGAAACACGGGGCTCGTGGCCATCTTGAAAAGGACTAGAGCCTTACCAAAGAGACATGTAAAGGACAAGAACAAACATTCAGGCAGTGCTGTTCACAGCTTGCTAGCATTTGCTATCAGCACATTCACTCATCTGAAGAATTAAAAGACTGAACATGACAGTCCTTGAGGAAATGCAGCTTCTGGCCCAACAGGGACCACAGAAAAAACACAATTCCAGCACTAACAGCTACTGAAAATGCAGCCAGGCTGGAATTTCATACAAAAAGACCATCCATGCCAGGTTATACCAGTCACCACAAACCTTTCTTTTTGTTTAAAAATTGTTCCTCTTCTTTTTCAGCTTCAACCCCATCATGTGATTTGTGTTTATTATACTATGCCCCCCCTTGACACTTGATTTCCTTGTTCTGTGCAGATACTGAGACTCTCTCAAGACTTTCTGCATTGAAGTACAAAGACTCAACTTCCTCAAATCTCTCCATAAAACAGCTTCTCTCTCCTTTTTCTTCCTTACACTCAAAAAAGGCCAGGTCTCTAGATCCAAGTCACACAGCCCTACACTTAAGATTTCCCTGCATGTGTGCCTTAAAATGGCCTTTTAATCATAGAGGTTAATTCCTGCTCCGTGGTTACAGACACTGCTGCAGGAGCTGTGCTGTCCAGAGGCTTGGCCAGCAGAATGAAATAGGTCCAACGTTTCAAAACTCTTTAAGCTGCTCACGCATAACCCAGAATATTATACCAGAACTGCACCACATTTAAGAATCAAGACACTCCCTCACCTACATGTGATCACCACCCATTAACACAATCAAGAAAAACACATGACTCTTCAGCAATATCAGAGCACTGGAAGTTCATACTCAGTTCTTTCACCAAGTCATGCTAACCTCATCCTCATGTTATCACCTCCTGGGCTACAGCCCAAGTGTACTGTCACAAACATGATCAGATGTGTAATAGCTCAATGTTCCTTTTTACTAGAGTATTTATACCCAGCTTTTTAAATCATCTACATACATGAATATCATTTAATTCACCACTGCTCTTTATTTGCTATGAACATTAGTGTGATTAAGCAAAAGGCCAAACCCAGGATTTTACAAGAAAACCCCCACCAGTGACAACTTCCACCCGCAATTATATTTTCACATGTGCAGCTACAGCTGGGGAGGGATTCTTCACCCTGAAGAGGCGTGGTCAAAGCAGGGAATGAGGCCGTAACAGGGACCACCAAATCTTGAGTGTCATGGAAAAGTGAGCAGGGAATGGCCATTCCTACATTCCCCAAACCGTCAGGATGAATGCAGGATCATCCGGGGGGTTCAAAACAAAGGTCCTTATTCACACAGCATTAAGCTGGAATGCACTGTCACACAGCACTGCGGATGGCAACAAAGAAACACCACATGCAACGTTCAAAAAACCCAAAACAAAAAAGCACAAAAGTTTACAGAAAAAAAGCTTTTCATTAAACAAAGACGTGCCTTGTGACCCTGAGCCGCAGCGAGCTGACAACTGAGAGGATCCGGAGAGACGCATCACTGAACGACTGCCCCTCTCTCAGGCTTTACTGCCGGCCACCACCACAGACCAAACCCCGAGCTACAGGGACCTTTGGTCTCCCCTCGTGCAATCTGTGCCCTTTGTACAAAACACCTGCACTGGTATAATACCATGTTTTTATCAGAATACCTTCTGCTCCCTCAATACAGACCTACTCCCAATTTTGTAATTCATTTATAATCCATTATGATTCAATTTTATAATTCATTAAATGACGCTACATAGAAAGATTTTTTTTTAAAGAATAAACAAGACTCCTTAATAATTTCAAAGTCGTAGATAATAACTTTCAATTATATTTCAATAAACACTGAAGCTCAACATTTTCATAAAACCCTTTCAGCTTCTCAAAAAAAGCTGCATTTTCAACATCTCTGTAGAGAAAAAAACAGAAGAAACAAACAAAAGACACTAAAACAAGACAAAAAATACCAGAGCAAAACGTCAAAACAAACAAGGAATGAAATACACTTAAAACTTTGTGGGTCTACAAAAAAAAAACAACCTAAAGAGACACGAAATTTACAGCTCCTCATCTAGCCAGTATTTTGAGGGCAGATTCCACCTCTTTATTTATTTGGAGTTTTAAAGCTCCTAAAAGGAGTTTTAAAAGGTCTTATCTTCGAAATCCTTCGCATTAGAAATTCCAAGAAACGACACTTCCAGACTCCCTTTACAAGAAGCCTCCTGGAAACTAGACCAGGGCGCTCCAGGGCGGGCGCCCCGGGGTCCCGGCTCCGGGCACCACCCGCCCGATCCGCACTCAACGGGCTCCGGTTCCCAAACACGCGGCCGCGCTCCCAACCGACCCGCGCGGGGTCCCGGGCCTC